GCTATTAGCTCAGCAGCTGTCAGCAGTATTAAATTCACCAGAAACATGGAGAGAAAACACAAAATAAAAGGAAGGACAACTGTGCTGAGAGTAACCTGCATTTAAACTTGAATCAAAACACCTTCCTTCAGTTATTTTCTCATGAATTGTTCTTATTGATCTAGCTCTGGTAAAGATCAATGCGGGCCTTGATTTTTTAACACAGTGTGCAGCCATTACCCAGCTGCTATTGAAGATTTTGAGACAGAGTAAGTTGTACTGAATTGTTTGCAATGCCTTGAAATAAATCTTCTGAGAAGTTTTAATCTTAAATTTGTCCTAAGACGGTGACTACCCTATGAACAAATTCCCAAACTTCATATTTCTCTACGGAAGTCACTTTCGGAGTTAGGAGATCTCTAGCAAAGAAGTGATGAGAATGACAAAATATCTGTCTTTTGGGGGGATATAAAAATGTAATTTGAGAAAAGTGAAGCTAAAGAAACCAGTTGCAGAACATTTTCCATATGTGAGTTTTCTCTGAGGTCTAACAGCAGATAAGCCATCCCTTATCTAAGCTGTTCCCCAGCGGGAACATTGACTCTCCTCTATCTGGCCACATATTTCACAAAACTTCTGGAATATAACACTTTTGAGATTAATAGACAGATGCTTTTTTGGACTGTAAACCCAAACTAGCACACAGACTTGTGCAATGTCATCACAAAATCACAATTTCCTTAGAACGTTTGGGTAAAACTCATTGCACTCCCCCTCCAAGAAGTATTGCCTAAGAGATCATTGCCATGTGCCACAGCCCCGACATCAGGTACTGCTGCTATTGCTGTTCCAGCAAACATTTCTTGGCTTCAGGATCCCCTTTTAAACGGCAGCCATTTGTTTCACAACGAAACACAGTAAATCGGTTGGTGTAAGCAATAACAACTTATGTTTATGTACTACCTGTCGCTCAAACAGATCCATAACCTCTTGGCAAACAGTAACAACCGCATGAGTGCGGAAGGCATAGCAGGGAAATTGTGGGATAATACAGTATGCAACAAAGTTTTCCACTAATTTTTAATACTCCTAGGATTTAAGCAATTCCACACACATTCAAATACTGAGTACTACACCGCCTGTGGCTTCAGTAAACACCCTCCTTATTTACATCGTGAGAAACTGAGCCACATGGAGGTTCAGTGAGCTGCCTGTGATTGCACAACCATTGCTCAGCAGCCGACCCAGTAATAGCATCTCAGACACCTCACTGCTTGTCCTGTGATCTGTCCTGAACAGGGATAATGCTTCTGCGAACTGAGCTACCAGAAGTGCTGGGCACAATGAAATCATTCAAGCTGGACCATGGCCAGAGCTGAAAGAACAACAACTGCTTCTAGCAGGAGTGCTAGAAAGTCTTTGGTGACCCCAGGTACTCATGACCACAGCTGATCATTAGGATTGGCTAATACCACATTGCAAGGACAGTGTGCTGAAGAAAGACCATAATCTCTTTCATAACGAGAAGGCACCGGGCTCAGCTCTAAAGCAGAAGGATGCAAAACACTTCCTGAGTCATCTGCAGCATTTTCTGCAGTGCTCTGGATTGTCCCTGAAGAGCCCAGTCTGTCCACTAATCAGTTTATCCTGCAAAATCAATGTCCAGACAGAAAGGAAGAAGGAAGGAAAAACACTGAAATCATGATGAGAAGAGCTATTTTCCAGCTTACAAAAAAAAGCAAAGAAAGAATATCTGAGAGGAAAATACGTACATCACAAAAAACGAAAAAAAATTCTCTGGTCTTTCTATATAAATACTCTCCCTTCAAAGTGTCCTGCCTCCAACGATGCTTATTACAAAGAAATCTCACTGCAGGCTTATGCCAAAAAAGCTATGCTGCAAATACTTCACGTGGCAAAGAGGGCTTGCAAAGAGGGCTTGTTCATCTGTCTCAGCCTCCCTTGCCATACTTTTCTGTCCCTCTTGCCAAATGGAAAATAAATGATTCTCTCCTAGCCGCCCAGGTTATAATTGGCTGGATGTGCCATCAGCTGGCTCATCCCCGCTCAAAGGCTGGGAAAGCGTAAATGCGTCCAGGATTACAGAAAATGAGGACACTAACTTTGGGACCAATCCAAAGCCCTTTAGAGTGAGCAAGGAGACTAATTGACTATAGCGGGAGCTGCATCAGCTCCTTAATAGCTGAAGGGAAATGTAACAATAAAATCTTCACCTTTTGGTACATCTTTCCTTTTTGTTTTGTTTTGGTTTTTTTTTTTTTTTTTTTTTAAAGCCCTCTGTTAATGGCTGCAAACTGCCTGCCTGGAACAGCAGGATTGGAAAGCTCAGGGCTATTACTCGATGTTTACAAAGGAAGGTGCTCAGACACTTGGTAGCGCCACAGAGGATGGAAGATGATGATAACGCATTTTTACTGGTTTTGCCTATCATCAAGAACAAAGCTGGTAGATTCAGATAATGGACTCAGTAACAGAGAGGAGAAAGTGCCCGTTTTATTGTCTGATGATGGGGTGGCTATCAGTGAGTTCGTAAGTTATGTTCAGTTATAAGAACCCTGTTCTGCTCTCCCCAGGGATCTTCCTTGTGCCCAGCCTCCAGCTCTCAGCATTGAAAACCTTTTATGTTTGGGTTGTGAAACTTGGGGTGGAGACAATGATCATTTCTCCTCTCTAACGTAACAAAAAGCTGACATTCCCCCACTCTGATCCATGGGAAGGGGAAATGCAGTCACCCCAAGTACTAGGAGCCCACAGGGCTTGTTGCATTGCCTTGTCTTTGCTGGGCTTTGCTCCCTGCCAAGTGACATCAGTGCATCATGGAGATGGCACTGCCTTTCAGCCAGATGGACTTTTCCCTCTTTTCTTGATCTGGAGGAAATGGCATGGGGTGATGGAGCTCTGTGGGAATTGGCATGGATTTATGATGGGCTGTCCTGCCTTCTGCTGGGCTGGGCTGGAAAGGGGGTCAGTGGGCCAGTGGCTTAGCATCCATGGAGCCAAGGCTGGGGGATAAGGTTATAGGGAGAGGTAGGAGAGGGAAAATGAGAGAAGGTTGTGTGGCACAGCAGGAATATTCAGAGGAAAAGGAGAAAAGAAGAAAGTCCAGATAAAAATGGAAAAGAGGGAAAAGCTTGTGTGTGCTGCAGACTGCTGAGTTTCTGCTCGAGGCAGTATCACCAAGGACATCTTTTGTTTCATTCACATGAAAATCCTTGCCATCAGTACTTCTCCTGTCCTCACCATGAATCCATCAGTTCATAAGCAAACAGATATGACAAGGCCTTCTACAGCTGTGTCAGAAACTTTTGATTACCAGCTGAGTGTAACATAGTGAGGGCAAAAACATGTGATTCAATACAGGTGGAAACCAGCTATAGTCATTTCCCAATGGTTGATGTCTGTTTTAGGTGATTCACTGTCCATGTGCCTTGGTTTAGATGCTTGGAGCAGCTTTTCTTGATGTGATCAGAACTGTGGGCACTAAATTTGTCCATCATTGAAGCACCAAAGGATTAGCACGTTCTTAAAAATGCCATCCTCATTCTGCACGTGGTCAGTGTTGGAGGGAGGAATGCAGTGGTTCAGGCTGTGAGAAGCCTTGGATTTACTCATCCTGTGGTTGCAGTGATTTTGTTCATACCACCAGCCGTGCAGCCTGAATTCAACACCTGAATGTCCATCTGATCCTTGAAAACTAGGGTATTGCTCCCCCCGACAACAAAAGCTGCCCACCAGACCCTTGGCAAAATCCTTGGGTTGACCCAGACATCTCTTCTTGTATGGTGGGACTGATGCCTAAAGGTCTGTTCCTTCATCTTCTGCCAGTTGCTTGCTCTGCAGGTGAACATCTTCCCTGCAGTGATGCTCGTGGGTGAGGTCTGGAGACTTTCCAAAGCAATTAAGCGTCTCTTTTCCCATCTTCTTCCAATCTAGGTACGTGTTGCTTGATTGTCATGGTGACTGCTGCCTGGAGACCCTCGCTAAGGGTGAGGCCTGTCAATTAGGATTCAGGGCAGCACTTCTGTGGCATCACAAGGGAGCCTCTTCTGCCGAGTGCTTCACTGAATGCACAGAGTTCATTTCACTGCAGAAATCCCAGTCGAGCAGCGACTCTGCTCAGCAGAAACATAAACAAGGCTGGCTTTAATCTTTCCTATTATGTGAAAACAACCTGATTTCCTTGCGAGCATGTTGTCAGTGCAGCCCTCGCAGCCTGTTCCTGGCCATCAGACCTGGATGAGGATGCTCAGGAGTCAGTAATGCAGCTGTTTTGCAGATCATGGATAAAAATAGCCATTTACTGAAACAAAAATCCAAACCCAAGGTCTTTCTTGCAGAACAGCGTGTGAAAGAGGAGCCATTTGCAAAATATGTCAGTTCTTGCAGCAAAACATGGGGAAAGAACGAGTCAGGGATAAAAAACAAAGCAGGTTTTTCTGTGAAGAAAGAAAGGAAGCAAAGAAGGGAGGTTTCCCGTGCAACACGCCACGAAGCAGCACGAACTGGCGGTGAGCACAGGGGAGGGTCTCAAAGGGGTGCAGGTAGGCGGAGGTGCGCAGTGCAGGAGAGCGCTTGAGGAGCCTCGTTAGCGCAGTAGGTAGCGCGTCAGTCTCATAATCTGAAGGTCGTGAGTTCGATCCTCACACGGGGCAAGGAAGGTGTCCTCTGTCTTTTTTCCCCTCGGCAGGAGAAAAACTGCCATTTTGGGTTATTTTTCTACCAACCGAATTGGGCCGCTGGCCTCGCTGCCCCGGCCCCAGCCCCGTCACCCGGGCCGCGGTCTGCGGGCTGCAGCGCCGGGCCCTTACCGCGCTCCGGGCCCTTCGCCGGGCGCTCGGTCCCCCCGCCCGCTAGGGGGCGGTCGCGGCTCCCCACAGACAGTTGCGCCGGGTCTGGGTGCGATGCCAGCGGGGGCGTGGCGAGGCCTTAGAGACGGTGCTGATTGGCTGCTTCGGGCGGGGGGGGCGGGTCCCGCGGCGCCGCGCGGCACGACGCCCCGCCCCGGCGGGCAGAGCGGTGTCGGTCATGGCGGTGTGCGCCCGGCTGTGCGGGGTAGGCCCGGCCCGCGGGTGCCGCCGGCGGGGAGCGGCGCGGGAGCAACGGCGCGGCGGGGCCGGGGATAGCGAACCGGACACCGACACCGACCCCGAGGAGGCGGGCGGCGGCGGCGGCGGCGGCTCCGAGGAGGATGAGGAGGCGGCGGAGCGCATCGAGGGCGGGCGGCCCCTGCCGCACCCCGCCGAGGCCGGCCCGGCGGGTCGGGCCCCGCTGTCCATCCTGGAGCTGCCCCCTGAGCTCCTGGTGCAGATCTTCGGCTCCCTGCCCGGTACCGACCTACCCAGCCTGGCCCGCGTCTGCACCACCTTCCGCCGCATCCTCCGCACTGACACGATCTGGCGGCGGCGCTGCCGCGAAGGTACCGCCCGCCCTGAGGTTGGGGGGGGCTGGGGGGGTGCAAGGACAGGGTGCCGGGCGATGCAGAAGCACCCGGGGGTTATGGGGAGGTGGTGGAGTGGTGCAGAGACGGGAGGGGATGGTGTGGGAGGTCTGGGGGGGGGGGGGGAGGAAAGAGCTGGGGGCTGCGGGTTGTAGGGTCGTGAGGGCGCCAGGCAGGGCTCTAGGGGTGGAGGTGGAGAAGAGGGTGCATCTCGGGTCCTCTGGGGCGCGGTCCTTACTTGGTGGACCTTGCTGCAGAAGGAGTCAGGTGTGAGCGGCTATAGCAAAGGGCATCGAGCTGGGGTTGTTTCCCGGGGTGGCAGCTGGATGGGAAAGGGAATGGGACCAGGCCCTGGAGGGTGATGCCTCCTTGTAGGGTGTCCTTGGGTGAATCCTGAGCATGGTGTGTTTCAGGCAGAGAGGACAGGGAGTGATCAGTCCCTGCAGAGTGGGGCTGAGCTGGGGGCCTTGGAGGCGTGGAGGCACAGTGGGTAAAGCAGGAGCAGGGATCCTGCTGGGGTCTAGTGAGCAGATGGAGAAAGGCAGCCCTGGGTAAGGTCATCCGTTCCTGTCCCATCTTGGGAAGCACAGGGCCCGGTTTCTGGGGGTTCCTGGTTTGCATGTGCATTGCCTGGGGAATGTCTGTTACAAGGATGCTGTGCTGCATTATTGCAAAGGCCTGGAGCTGTATTGGTGGTACAGTGTCTCAGTTCTGTGCTGCTGTGGCCCTGTTAGACTGAAATTCTTACTCTTTCCTCCTTGTGCTTTTCCTGACGACATTGTGGCTCTCTGTTCCGTGTTTGCTAATCCAGTGGCTGTCCTACTGTGCTCATCATCTCTCTAAATAGCATGATCCTGCCAGGTGCATCTGCTGCCAGCACATGAAGTCATGTATATTTTGTTGTTGTTGTTTTCTGTTTTTAATACCAGTGGGGACATCAAGATGAAGAATTTAGATATGGCAGAGTGGCTGCCTGCCATCAGCAGTGGGATCTGTTCAGATGCATTCAGCCTTGAAGGACTGAATTCTTGCCTTATCAGCACTATCCAGGAACCCTTGGACAGTACAAAGGCTGTACCTAGAAAATGTGCACCAAAGCATTCTTGTTCCTCACTTCAGCATGGGATAATCCTGTTGTCCCAGTAACTTAACATTGTTTTTTGGAGACAGGCTAATAAAATAGTATTCATTCTTTCCTTATTCTCCTCCACTAACGTAGAATCCTCATGAACATGTGTTTTATGAATGGTTTGCAAACTTCACTGATTAGTTATTTTAATAGGTTATGATCCTGGCAGTATGTTTACAGAGAAATGTATACAACTTCTGAATGAAGCTAGATCGTCTTCAAAAGGACCCACTAAATTAGGCCTGATTGAGAAATAAATTTGCTTACTGAATTTGTCACTGCTGCTTGTATTTTCTTGCAAGTACATAAAACAATGCTCAAAAGCTAAGTGGGCTTTATATGGCTAAAACTGATCCAGACAGGAAGGGGAAGTTTTTAGACTACACTTTTGTCTCAAGACCCTTGGCTAGGTACAAGGTGAGAGGTGCATAAAGCAAGTTTTAATCTATGAAACTGTTACTGCAGTCTTTTAAGCAGTCACGGTTCTCCAAGCAGTTCTTCATAAGGACTTGCACTGTCCATAGTGCTCTACACAGCAGTATAAGTAATCACCATTGTGATAGTGCTACTATGAGTATTTGTACACATATGAAATCTGTCATTTTGTGGAGCTGTTTTGCAGTTATCTGTGTGTGTTTCAGTGATCTGTTGCACATAGTCAGCTACTGAGTGTGTTCAAATGTGAGTGTACAACTACTTGAGGACCTGCATGGGCATCAGGTATATAAATGCACATGTAAAATTTAGAAGTACTGTGTTTCTGTATAACCCTACGCTGGTTACTATATGATAGTCAAACATGAAATGGAATTTATCTTTCTCCAAAGCAAGCCATTTCCCAGCTGAGGGCAACGTGTGCTTGTATCTGCCTGAGTCTTCTTGTGAAGCTATGTGTCCTAGAAACAGAACGAGAGCATGTGCACCTCTCCTGGTGTGCTCCTTGCACTGATGTCTTATTTACTCTGAGGCCTGCTGATGATATTCCAGAGCTGAGCTCTCTGAGGTAGTAACTAGTAAACTTCAACTTTGTGTCAGTTGCATATGCAAAACAGTCTGCTTTTTCAGAAATGCACAGCAGTAAAGAAACAAGAAAGATGATTCTAAAATTAAATGGAACAGTTCTCTGAGAGAAGCCCAGCCATTGCCTCAGTCAGCCATTGAGTGTTGGTGTCTTGTTCTTGCACTACTGTGGGCTGACTCAGCTGTAGATTCGACTTGAGAACATCTGGTTAGTGCAAGCATTCAGAGGACTTGTCCTCCTGAAAGCAGGGTGGCTTTTGCTGGTGATTTTAAACTGGAAGAGTGCTGGGATTAACCAGAAGTGGTTGTTCAGTGCTGGCATGGCTTTTTAGGGCTGTTGTCCTTTTATCATTGCGACTGTTTGGTGTAAACAATATCTCTATTGCTTCTTTGGCAAGAAGAGGATTGCAGTCACTTTCATGTTTTCTATAAATAGGAGATTGCTGATCTCTGCAGTGGGAGCAGAATTAAAGCTTCTTTCACCCTGGCTGGTGGCCTGACCTACCTTGATTAACACCTGATAGTCTATTTTAAATGGTAACCACTTTCATCTTAAAATAAAACAGCACAGGTGCAGCAGAACACCTGGAAACAGGCCAGTAATTCAGAATAACCAAATCTGGAACTTGAATGAAAAGGCTTTTGTTTGTGAGAACGACCTCCAGCAGTTCTTGGACCTGATGAAAAATGTCAGCCAAGGTGTTTAAAGATGCTGACCTCCAGTAGGTTGTGCAGAAGGAGGTGCCTGTGGAGAAGAGTGGGAAATCTTGTTTATACAGTCAGTGAGGGAGCTGATGCATGGAGCTCAGCTCTTACAGGACTCCAGAGAATCCACATAGGAGTTTGATGTACAACTGTTCCCACAACAGGAGCAATTTCCTGTAGTGCTGCAGTCTAGTAAACGCAGAGGTGATTTTAATAAGTCTCAGGGCTCTAATCTCCCTTTATATGAGGTTAAAACACTGTATTACGTTTTTCTCTGGTGAACCATCATGGGCTTTATTTCATCTCTGACCATTTTCTTTGGCTTTTAGAGCACAACTTGGCAATGGTTTGCTGTTTCTCACTGCTAATGGCAGGTGCTCACTAGCTGTAGCCATCCTTCAGAGAGTCTTCCTTGGGTCAGCTTGTAAGCTGTAGACCTAGAGCTACCCATCTTTTGATTCAGGGTTTCCACAAATGCTTTCATTTGTTGCAGATCAGGTCTCTTTATCTGTGGCTGCAAAATACCTCGGTGGTAACTACAGGCCTGCCCTTGGGAGTAGTGTTTGGGAAACTATTTGGTGTATTTCAGTCTGGTAGTTCAGCCTTTGGAAACAAGAAGCTGGTTCCAAGCTTGTCCACCTGGTATTTCGGGGGTGTTAGCCTGAGAATCTTCCATTTTTGTGTTCTCTGAAATAATCCAGTCAGTTTCTGTGCTTTCTGTTCTGTGCACAGCCTTGTAAACACACAATTATCCACGAGTAATTGGAGGACTTGATTAGGCAGGGTACTGCAAACATAGCAGTGATAAGGGTGTCAAGCTCTTCCAGACATCCTCACTTCCTCTGAATTGCGGATGTCCACATTGAGTGCTTGCAGCTGCTGACTAGCATTGCCATGCTGAGAAGGATGGAGAGGAAAAGCATTAATTTGGTCTTTGACAAGAGTATGGGGGTTCTTCCCTACTTGGGCTGGAAGAACCTGGTTTGTTTGTTTGCTTTTTTAAGCTTCAGCACAGGCCACACAGAAGGAGATGTATGGCATGGCTTCTAGAAAGGAGATGGGAACATGAGGCTCAGAAGAGCAGATGGCGAGAGGCAGGCCAGGGAGTAAATTGCATTAGTGCAGTTCCTAATAAATGGAGAATTGCCTTCACAAGTCCTTTAAATTCTAGTGCATGTGACCGTGGAAACAGCACTGTGTCACTCTGTGTTTGGTAAATCTTTCAAGCATTTCTTACAAATCTAATAAAACAGGCTTTCCAGCTGGTCAAGGAAGAAGTTTAAACCCAATTTCCAGCCTTGCTTTTGAAGTAGGATTAAGTAGCCATTTTCTAACAGTCTAAATTTCTTGTGTGGATTTCTGTGACTGTTAACTCTTTAAAATACGTTTCTCAGGGAGCTGTTGCACTGAGATGTGTTTCCTGAAAATAGATTTAATTGCACTGAAGTGGAATTTCCTAGGAAGCTTGAGCCCTTCAGAGCTTTCTTGGAAAAGGCTTTCTGTTCTCTGTTAAGAAAAGATCCATTTTATTTTACCGTAGCTATCTTGAAGTTCTACTTATTTTTAATTTTATGTATGGATTAAAGAGATGCTTACATTTATTGCTTGTGATATTTGGAGGCTTTGTAGGCACTGTGAGCCAAAGGACTATTTTGTCTCATCAAGAGGCCATTGTGGTGTTCACATCTCATGGATCAGAGAAGCTGAAGTGATGCACTTAACCAAAGCTTAGCCATCACTATGGGATTTTGACTCTTTGTCGTCGTTTGCTGTACAAGACAGGATACGGACTAGTTGTCAGAAAATGAGATGTATTAAAGCGCACAAAATTGAGGTTATTTTCTTTATTCTTGATTATTTTTCTCTATTCTGATAATATTTTCTTACAAGCCTTGGAATCTAACATCAAATCACATGTAGCATATCTAAATTCTACATTTTTGTCTTTTTTTTTTTTTAAATTAAGTGAGCTTGCTATTGGAAGAACTTTGACTCTCTTCAGGAAAGATACAAACTCCAGCAGTTAGAAATGCACCTTTAGTAGTGGTTTGGCTTTCATGAAATTAATATTTCACTGCAGGTTATCAAGGGCACTTGCATGAAACTGGGATAGAGCTTTAACTTCAATCACTTCCCACCCCACCCTGTTGTTTTAAGATACCTGCTGGTAATAGATTTACTGTGGCAGTGCACTCAAAAGTGATTTATAGCTCTAGTAGGGAAAACTGAAAAATTAGCACTTTCTGGAGGAAGAGACAATATGACTGTGCTAGTAGTGCTGTTAGAGCAACATGGAGAAATGCCATTTGGGCAGGACCCTCTGCATGTCTCCTCCCTTTCTGATGCAGCACAGATATCTTCAGTGATACTGAATTTAATCTAGCTGCAATGCCTGCTGCACAGTGCCTGCATCTTACTGGTTCTGTGGCCAGGTGAGTATTTGTTTACATGCAAAGAGTTGCCTGTTTGCAAACAGCAGGCTATGACCACCCTGTTTCTGTCATAAAGATCTCTGACTTTCAGATCAGCTGAGGAGACATGCTGTTCCCTCCATTAGCAAACACATACCCACTTGTGCACATAATGCACACCAGTGGTTGAAAGCCTTGATAGCTCTGGCAGGAGGGCTGGGCGAGCTGCTTGCCTGGGTCTGAATTTCCAGTCTCCAACAGAGCTCTGGTTTCACCCATCTGCAGAATGAGCTGTCTCAGGTCAGCTGGCTGCAGCCCAGCACTAAATAGCTTGTTTGTGCTGGAAGTCCTTTACTGCAAGCTCGTCTGTCTGCTCCCTGGCTGATGGTGCTTCCTCATCCCACCTTGTGTTTGATAATGCTTAGAGCTTCCTCTGGCTGTTGCGAGGGAAGTCAGCAGGAACTCTCCCACTGACCTTTGCATCTTTTAATGAAGGGCAACGTGTTTGTTGTACCTTCTGCCTACTCTTCGTTGAACTTGCTTACTCAAAGCGATGTTGTGCAGAATGTGTGTTCCCTGTAGGCAGGCTGACAGTAAGCTTTGCATGTGCTGTCTCATCGTGTACATGTACCACAAGTGTATTTATAGAACGGAGGAGGTTGAATTCATTCAGGGAAACTTCTGGTTTTCTTGTATATGAAAAATGAATTCTCAGTTTGCAGTAGGTTACCAGCATTCAGTAGTGGTATTTGGCAGCCACAGTAAATTGTTAATTCAAGGAAGCTCTACTGCGGATAAGTTTAATATTTAATGATTGGATAAGGGTCTTCACAGATACGCTTTAATCACATATTTGGCAGATGTTTGGTACTGCTGAGGAAGGCTGATGTTTGATCTGTGGTGTAGATGTCTTTGATGTGAAGGAGTGTAGTTTTCTGTACTGAGATCTATCAGGGTCGCTGCAGCATGGTGGTTTTCATTGCTGATGATTTTTTGGGATCTCCCTCCTCTCATTTCCTCCCTCTGGTCTTCTAAAGGTTTCTTGTATTGAGATGTGAGCGCTTGCTTTTATTATTTTTATTTTTTTTAAGGTTTCTCAGAAGTTCAGTGTGTACTTCCTGAAAACGAAAGAGGAGAATCTCATTTTCTGCTTCAAAGCTGCCTATAAGATCTCTGTATTGCTTTGTTTTCAGGGTGTTCTGTAAGCAATCAAAGGCATTTGAATGTACAACAGACCCATCTCAATCTGATCTGCTTTCAAATGTAACCATATTTGTACACGCTGATGCCTGTCTTATGTCTCCATTTCATTCTTTTTAAAGTCTGTGTGACCTTTTTTGTAGGATCCTAATAAGCAGTTTTCTCTGTTGGGTACCTCAGTGGGAGCAGATAATTACTACACAGAGTCATGATTTGATCTAAATGGGTGTACAGTCCTAGCTGCAATGAGTAGGTCTTCCACATTTCACATTCTTTGTGGTCAAGTATAAGCACCTGTAACTTTGGTGTGTTTGTACGTTCCTGATGGTGTGTTTATTGTTGCAGGCATTGCTTGTAAAATGTATTAGATTCCCAAACTTTAGTGAAATTACATCTAACTTTCTGTTTTCTCTTCAAAGCAGAAATAAGATTCTTGGACTCATGCAGCAGCTTGCAAGAATAATAAGATTATTCTTGCAAGATAATAGGCACCTAATAAAATCTTGTTTTTTCTCGAACAGTGGATCTCAAGATCCTGGGTAGCAAACACCTTTGTGCCGGAGCTGACATTGTTATCTGTGTCATTGCAGAATATGGGGTCTGTGAAAACCTGCGGAAGTTGGAGATCACAGGAGTGTCCTGTCGAGATGTTTATGCCAAGCGTAAGTGATAAAGCTGCTTTAGATCCATATGTCCTTGCTTAGTACCAATTTCGAAAGCATATATGTGTTGAGTATTTATTAAATGCTGACAGCATAAGTTATTTGGACTTACTTGCTGATGGCTGGGGATTCATCTGTGAAGTTGATATGTCTGGAGTTTTATTTTTAAGCAGATGCCAAGAAGTGGGATGTCTATGCCCCTCAATCCCTTGATGGGAAAAGAGAGTGTAATTTAACCTTATTATAAAGTGTATTGGAGTTTTTTCATCCTTTCCTGTTTTGCCATCTTCAGATCTCGCTAAGGAATTAACTGGTATTTTTTCATAGCCCTGATGTAGCTAAGTCTTGATCTCAGTGAGAAGACACTGTTAGATGCTGTCAAGTGGGAAAGCACAGTAGGTAAAGGAATGAGCATTCCTCTGAGCTGCTCCTGAAGGAGGAGAGCTTAGCAGGGCTGGGCTTCTGCAAGGTGTTAGTGAGTTTTAGGAACAGTAAAATAGTAGAACCCCAAATCCTTAGACCCACCATGCCTTATGCAAGGCAAATGCGCATCTTCTGTCTTACAGTAAGGAGGGGTGGGGGCATCATCAGATGAGAGAAACCAAGGTAGGCTAAGGGCTGAGTGGAGGCCTGGGTCCATGGTGAGGCTCTCTCCCCTGTAACCAGACCTTGCACTTTGCAGTCAGAAGCTGGGCTGGTTGCTCAGAGAGCCTTGCAAAGCCCCTGAGAGCTCCCATACCAGCACTGCCAAGCTGTGTTGTCTTGATTCCCCATCACAGATCTTGTAAAGAACCGACTTACCTGTGGTTCTTAGGATAAAAAACAAGATATGACCTGAAGCACTTGAGCTATGGCTTCTGGCTGTTTGAAGAAGGTCTTGCTTTATGAAACAAAAGCAGAGAGGTCAGTCATGAGAGGTCTCCGTAGATTTGCAGACTCAAAATCTGGCTCAGCTTCTACATATACTGTATTTGTTAAACCTTGAAACAGTGATGACCTCAAGCATTGATCTTAATGCTGGAAAAAAACAACAGGCAGAAGGGTTTTAATCCCACCTTTAGTAGATTTGCTGAGCATCCACAGGAAAATCAGACAGGATTTGTGTTACACGTGTTTCCAGTCTTCCTTTATACTAAAGTAGTTTCTGCATTCATTGGCAGAGAGCCACACTTGACATGCGAGTACCTCTGTGACAGACTTTATTGCAGTTCTGAGTAAGGAATGTGTCCATATCCATTCAACAGTCCTAACTCGCAATGGTAAATCTGAAGTGAGAATCCTTGCCCACAGTTTCTGGCACCATCTCTGCTCTCCTGTCCAGATTCAGCAGTTTGCCCTGTTGCAGGCTCTTAGTGGAACAGTTTCCTGGTGGTGTGACCTCATTTTCTCTACTGTCCCATAAACCCCTCTCTAATTGCAGAAGAGTTAATCTGGGGCTGCTGGCAGGGCTCACATACACTTTTCTGTCCACCGAATGTGTTTCTCTAAGAAGTAGTGTGGGGAATGGGGAACTGAGTTTAAGTTACAGAAAGCATAACTAATTCAAGGCATGGGCTGCTGTCCATGTACTTACTTGGCCTAAGTGTGTTCATGAGGCAGCATGGCTTGTTACAGTCCCACTACAGAGTTTGAAGAGGACCCCGATTCCACTTTGAATTCACCGAATGCCATTTATACATATTGTCTGTGGGGAATCTTGAGCATACCAAGCTCTGTGTGAGTAATCCTGCTAACCAGGTATACCTGAGACTGGGCTGATGCAAACAAATGGTGCCCCACAACTGGAAGTGAAGTCGAAAAAGAGTTTGGCTTTCCTGCGTGGTTGGTCCAGGTTCATCATGCTGTTAACAGTGCTGGTTACAGTGGAGCAGAGTTTGCTGGTACTTACCCTGCTGTGTCTGTTCAGGTATAAACCCACGAGTGAAGTCGGGGCGTTTTATGAAAATCCTTCCCGACTACGAGCACATGGAGTACAGAGATGTTTACACCTGCCGTACGTACCTCCTGCTGGTTGATGCTTCCTGCACTAAGCACACACAAGATGCTGCATGGAGTGTGACGTGGCTTTAAGCAAATTATTTTGGGGCGGACCTTGGGATAGTGTAGAGGGTGCCGGTTAGTCAGTTCATGCTGTCGCACGTTAAGGGGGTATTCTGGCTCTTCAGAGTGGCAATGAGAGTAGGGCAGCCTCTGAGGTATGCTGAGCCTCTTTTTGAAGTGCTTTGAGTTGGAAAATCGTGAGTCTCCATTCACAGAAAGGGAGCACTCCCTCTGCTCCTCACAGATTGCTCCTTTTTTTAGAAGGAAATCTTCAGATACCCTGGTAAGGGCTCCCAAAAGCAAGTTTGAATAAGCTCTGGACTGGCAAAAAGCTTTCTCATGGTCCAGTTAAGATGCATTTAATCCACAGACCTTCCCAGTGAAACATGCTGAGGGTTCCCATACTAAGTCCCTCCCCGCACAGTGAATCCCTTAAAGCACCATCTCCATCTCTAGGAAACATTCTCCTGGTGTTTTAGAGGTTGTGATTTACCTTCTTTAGTCAAGAAGCTGCTTTGGGTAAACTTCTTTCCCTCCTGATGTTGTGTTGAGGGAAGAGTATTAAAATGCTGGATTTTAACACTCACTGTTCAGCAGGAGTTGGAGGGGAAATACTGATGAGTATTTCCTTTCTTAACATCAGTTAAGAAAGTTACTACTGCTTGTGTTTCAGAGGGGGTGTTGAGCTGTCTCTAATGCTCCTTTAGGTCTGCACAGTTTTGCCAAGTCAAGTTACTAACTCACTGGTGCTTGGGAATGTAGTTTTCACACACACTGAGTGGAGTGGATGGTGCAGACTTACCTGTGCTAAAGAAAGCACAGGTAGCCACAGAGTGAAGATGGTGTCATTAATGTGAGTCACGACAGACAAGCAGCAGCAGTGCTACAGCAGGAATTGATAGGAAATTTTAGGTTTAGCAATCCTGTGCATCAACAGCAGCCTTGTTCTGGAGCTGGGTGGGAAGGAGAGGCACATCCAAGCTGTCCTGCAGGATGAGGGATTGCTTTGTAGATTGCTACCTGGGTGTTTGCTCCAAATGTGCTCTTTTTGGTGGCTGTCAAATGGCATTTTGTGCTGTTCCCTCAGTTAATTGTTTAGCCACAACCCCACACTTTTGATGTCTGGTGCCCCTTTTCTCTGGAGGCATGTTGTATTACTCTGGGAAAAGCAAGTGTGGTTTAAGATGCAATTGCCCAGTTCCTCCTTTTTTTCCCTTCCTGACTATTAAGACCTTGTTGCCAGGGTTTACCATGAGTGCTCCCTAATTTGTATTCCTGCAGCACAAGCCAGGTCAGCTCAGATTGCTTCCCCCAGCATTTTAAACTAGCCTGGCTCAAACACTTAGTGTTTCCCACTAGCAGGTCAGTTATCACCAGCTGGGGGGCAGCAACTGCCTGTATTATTCCAACTCATTTTGCTTAGAGATACCTTGCTGCATCCTGAGAGGCCCTGGGAATTGTAGTGGATCAGGTTTTTTCCACTCAAAGCAAGATACTTCTGCTTTAAAGGCTGCAGATTTCACTGACAACTTCTGTGTTAGGGTTTTGCATTTCTCTGCCTGTGCTCCCCAAGCTGAACGCAGTAATGGAATAAGAGTTAGTTAGAACAGATCTGAAAGCACCTGCTCTCCTATCTTAATAACCCATTCTGGGTTTGTAACTTGTCTGTTCATACCTGTAGTGTCTGTGGTGTGCCAGCACTGCAATGCTTGCTTGAATCGCTGTGCATTTGCTCAGTGTCACCTCCTTGTCCCGTGTCTTAACTCTTAGTGAAGAGCACAGGCTTTAGTCCTTTCCCAGGCAGCCTTCTTTTAGTGGGAGCTTGGTCATTCACTGCTTTTCCTCACCCATTCCCAGCTGGATTCAAGCTGCCTTCTCATCTGAAGAGCTTGCTGGGCTGCTTGTGTCAATGTGGGTATTATCCAGGCTGGATGGGGGTTGTACTGAAGCATCCAGTGGATGTTAATTTGTGCTCCATCTGGGAGGATTTGTGGCTCAGATAGGCAAGAGGCTTTTTCAGGACTGAGAAAAATGGACAACATTTATAGCAGAGGAAAATGCTGGAGAAAGACCCAAATGCTGTTTTCTTTCGAGGAGCAGGGAGGGAAACAACTGTCAGATCCATCCTGTCTCCCTCCAGGAACAGCCAGAGCCGGAATTCATCAGGTTTTCTCTGCTAGGAATATAGCTGCTGGCGCACTGGAGCCCAGAGACACTCCAGGCTTGAAAATGGAGCTGTGCTTTTGCTTTGAGACTTGTTTGAGGCTTTGGCCAAGTACCAGCATTTTCCCCAGTCACTTCCTTTCCTGAAAGAACAGAAGGAGGCGTCCACAGCATCCTGAGCGAGTGGGGAAGATGACTTGTCCATTAAGGTGTCCCTGCTGTCGGTGTGTAAACCAAGCACAGAAGCTGTTATGCAATGGGTAGGATTCTTTTGAAGGTGAATGAGACTTCTTTGGCCTCCTGCCTCCTTTGGGTTTCTGGGTGTTCGGGACAGATGGTGAAACACACTCAGCCGTGTGTCTGTGACTCAGCCATGTTTCCTGAACCATGGCTCTTGGTGAACTGAGCTGCAGCTGGAGCCAGCTGTTTACTCAAAGTGAGCACACAAACCATCTTCAGCGGGCATGTGGCTTGCAGTGGAAGGGCTTGCCTTGTCACAGAGACACTTACCAGGCTGTTGAAAAGCCCATCAATTGTACCTACAGCTCTGAAAGTGCTTGTGACAGGAGCTGGGGAGAGAGGCATCCTCATCGCTCTTGGATAGCTTAGCATCAAGTTTTCTGTCCTAAAAGTAGTGGTTTTTTTAAGCTGGGTTTTATCAGCTCCATGCCAGACAGAGTAGAAGGCAGACTGTGCTGGGTGGTGCAGTTTATGCTCAGCGCCTTTATTAACGTGACATTACCACACTGAGATGAGAAAACTGGGAATGTGGTTTGCTTGCTTGCCTCAGTGCTATTTGTGCTGCACTTGGTTCACTGGGTCATCCAGGCTATCAATCTTAAGTTGTTTACTGCGCAGGAAAAAGGCTCCTCCAGGCCAGTTGGCAGCAGCTCTGGACAACCCTCCCTGCTGTCCTAAACCTTTGTGGAAGTTCTCTGCTTTGGTGTAATAAATCCACTCTTACAATTCTTGTTATCTTTGGTGGTAAATGAAACAAAGTTGTTATAGCAACTGCACCGAAACACAATTCTTCATATAAATTGATGCAAAGCAGAAACTGTTCTTCAAGCCAGTCCTGTAAGTTAAATGGGTTATTGTGACCTTCTGAGTTGGCCAGGAGCATCATTTTAAGGCAAGGGTAGTATCTTCTTGCCACCTACATAGAAATTTGCATCCTGATTCTGACCAAAATGTCAGATTGTACTGGTCATGTCAGGCGATGACATGGACAGAATTAATGGCTGACTGTATAAGGACTGGAGATTTATTAAGACTGTTGTCTCCTGATTGCTGATAATGTTCCTACTTGTCCTTTTTTGGTGGGATTGAAAGTGCACCTATCTCTGAGATGACAGAGAAGCCTCACCTGCTGCAGTAGGCTTTGAGGGTGACATTGAATCAGCTTTTGGGCAGTGCTAAAATGTAGCTGCTTAGATTTTTTTAAAGCCATGACTGACATGGTAACGCCACCAGATCTCCCGAGCTGGCATGGTCTGCACGCTTTGCTGGCTGTTTTTAAGGATGCTGAACTCTGGAGACAAGTTTGCCTAGATTAGGCAAAGAAATGCTTTAAAAATACTCAAATTCCCCTGTTCCTTACTGCATTTCTGTTCTTTCTTATTTTCGGTAGCTTTGCAGCCTGAGGCATCAAGAACATGTTTTGGAGACAGCAGATACTTTATTTGTTTTTAGCTCTGATAATACGATTTGCATTGATGGGACCATGTTTTCTGTGAATTCCTGGTGAGGTTTCTGTTTGTGTAAACTCCTGCACCAGGCCAGGAGCAGGGCTGCAGGGAACAGTGTAAATCCGTGTGAGCTTCTGGGAGGCCTCAGTTCAGAACTGCCTGGCTGTGGTTTGAAGTAACCAGTTTTCATTAGTAAAGGCAGTTGTGGGTGGTATTGGGCGGTGTTGCGTGCGGTCTGGTAGCAGTGTTTTATTTTCTTTCCCCCAAAATCCCAGTTCCTTACTGTGGTGTGCTCACTCCGGTGTCTCACTGTTCCCTAGTGCTGCACCGATACCGACACATCCTGGGGTTATGGCAGCCGGACATCGGGCCCTATGGGGGACTGCTGAACGTGGTGGTGAGTGAGTACCTCATTCTGGGGGCTGTGATGTTGAGGACACGTGAGTCTTTTGTATACAGCTTTCTAGACCTGAGCTGTTGAGGATTCTGGATAGTCAGCCCTGAAGCAAGTGATTGGGACCCAGGGGTTGCTTCTTGACCTTTTCATCGTCACCACCTTTCCACAGGGAGTCCTTTTGTGTTTCAGATGTTCTCCAGGCAGCCACAGGAGCACACAGAAAACATGAGCAGTGTTTCAGGGAAAGGCTTGATTCAGAGTTCAGTGCTATTATTCCAGTAACTGGCACAGAAGTCCATTCCTTGTGTGTGGGGTACAGCAGAGGTTTTGGCACTGGCCCATCACTTACTCCGTTATCTTTGCCTGTAGCTGATCATGTTGCAAAGGGTTTTGCATTTGTGTTCATGCACATTTCCTTCCCTTCTTTCACCAGCCATGTCTAAGACTAAGGCATCAGATGTTATGATACAGGGGCATGACTCGTGCAAGACCTGTGGAGCCTGGCAGCTCTTGTGCTGCTGGGAAGAGTAGTTAATGAGCAACATTTGACTCTACTGGTAAGAGCTGGGCCAGAAGCTTGCCTGAGGCCCTTGTTCTTTGCACCAGGGTTCAATAGCTGACATGTTGAAGTGTAACAAATCACAAGACCTTTGGGTTTTGCGAGATTCTGTTCCATAAACTAGTAGAAGAGTGCATCCGAGTGCACCAATACTTACATGTTATTACGACCTTATAAAGACAAGAGTGCCTCTGTGGTGCTGCTCCTCTTTTGTCTCAGATCTCTCTTTGGAAAATATCCTTTCTCTGGAACTGTTGGGATAGAGGGGATGGATTCTGTTAGGCGTGCAGGAAGAGGGCTGGCACTTGCACCTCTCAGCAGAGGAGATTGTTGCTTCCTGTGCTGTCTATGAGTAATGGAGCCAAATAATTCCTTGTCCAAAAGGCACGGATAATCATGAGAAGCAGAATTCGTCTGCTTGAGTATCTGCCAGCATGAGCTCTCAAACCAATTACAGTTTGACTAGCTGTGTGGTCTCTTCAGTGCAGCCTCTCCCTCTGGATCCTGCACACCAAGCATCCGTCACAAAGTCGTTTGCAGTAATAAAGGCCTGATCATTTTCCAGTGGTGCAGGAAGCCTGGTAAACAAACCTTCTCCCTCTTCACCAGGGGTGTGCTGTGAGTGCATATGGTCTGGTTTAATTGCTGGAAGGCAGTTTGGAAATGCAGCAAGCTGTTCCACAGCTCCCACCCTGTTGCAGAATAGGCCCCAGATCTGTTAGCTGCATACTCATCAAACATGCAGAGATGATCTCATGTGCTTTTTCTCCCACCCCTCTGCAGGTAGATGGTTTGTTCATCATCGGGTGGATGTACTTGCCACCTCATGACCCTCATGTTGATGATCCAATGAGGTTCAAACCTCTCTTCAGGATTCATCTCATGGAGAGGAAGGCTGCAACGGTTGAGTGTATGTATGGTCATAAGGGACCTCATAATGGCCATATCCAGGTGAGTTCTTCTGGCACTTTCAGCATCATCCATCCTGTGTGTGATCATAGAATCATAGAATCGTTAGGGTTGGAAAGGACCTTAAGATCATCTAGTTCCAACCCCCCTTCCATGGGCAGGTACACCTCACACTAAACCATGCCACCCAAGGCTCTGTCCAACCTGGCCTTGAACACCACCAGGGATGGAGCATTCACAGCTTCCCTGGGCAGCCCATTCCAGTGCCTCACCACCCTTACAGTAGAGAATTTTTTTCTTATATCCAATCTAAACTTCCCCTGTTTAAGTTTTAATCCGTTACCCCTTGTCCTGTCACTACAGTCCCTAATGAAGAGTCCCTCCCCAGCATCCCTATAGGCCCCCTTCAGATACTGGAAGGCTGCTCTGAGGTCTCCACGCAGCCTTCCCTTCTCCAGACTGAACAGCCCCAACTTTCTCAGCCTGTCTTCATACAGGAGGTGCTCCAGCCCCTGAACATCCTCGTGGCCTCCTCTGGACTTGCTCCAACAGTTCCATGTCCTTCTTATGCTGAGGACACCAGAACTGCACACAGTACTCCGAGTGAGGTCTCATGAGAGCAGAGTAGAGGGGCAGGATCACCTCCTTCAGCCTGCTCCTCCTTCACCTCTTTCGATCATGCACATTGGCTCTGGAAACGGGCTCATCAAAAAACTGCATGAGAATTTGATTTAAGGGATGTGGCATTCACCACCTTGTTGTATGTGTGGATGCCAGCTTTATGCTCATTATGTGTCTGGCAAGTTGTGTGGGCTGTTCCCCACTCTGAATTTGTTCACTGGCAGTAGTACAGGAAGGCTGTTACACTGTCTTCTGTTGGGCTGGAGCATGGTGGGAGTGTGGGAGCACCAGTACGTGTACAGGCTGGGGGAAAGGATATGTAACATGTCCTTGTGCAGTTGGTTGGTGAGTGTGTCCAAGCAGACACACAGACCTGTACTGTTTTACAGCTCTCTCTTAAGATGAGACCTTGAGAAGGTGATGTAGCATCCATTCAGTACGTTGGATGCTTTGAAAAGGTTCCTGAGAGCTTGTTTCCTTTTCTTTTGAAGAGGGAAGCTCAAATAGAGAGGCAACTTAAACCTGTTATCTTTCATTATAATGTGTTGGGGTTTTATTGCTTTTATTTCTCATTTCTGTAGCTGATGTACTTGGTATCACTTAATGATTTCTCTGTTGTAGTAAATTCAGTAATGTTTGTTGTGGCAAGCATTTACTCTCAGCAGTCTTAGTTACATCATCCTATGCATCTCTAAACAGATTTGTAACCTGTTAAATTCTCTTCCATGGTAACTACAGATTGTAAAGAAGGATGAGTTCTCCACGAAATGCAACCAGACAGACCATCATCGGATGTCAGGGGGAAGACAAGAGGTATGAGTCCTTTGTCAAGGGTCTGCATTAGGGCTCTTTGTATGTCCCCTTTCTAAAGCTAAAGCACTTCTGTCTTACCAAAGCTCTTAGCTAGTGTTGGGGTCAGAGAGATGGTCTTCTGCCTTCTAACTTCTGTGTATCTGAACATACATGGAACATACACAAAAACCCAGGCTGGTAGCTTCTAGCTGATTTACTAGAATCTTTTTTAAGTGAGTAGAATCAATCTGTGACTTGAATCAAAACTTAAAGTGGCCATGTTTGCGTAATAGCAGGATCTTGGGGAACCTCTTCTGTACTTGACAAGGTATCATTTAAGGATCCAGTATATAGGGTCAGTTCAGTGTTGCACATGCACCTGCAGAATGTCTGTGTGGAGACCCCATGCCTTAATCTCAGTGTGTGTCAGGGTGTTGGAGGAGGTTGTTAATGTCCATCCTGTTGAGCAAAAAGCCCTTCAGGCAGTTCTCTGAGCAAGGTGCTTAGAGGAGCCCCAGCAACTTTTCCTTCCTGTGCTCTGATACCTTTCCTGCTTGATAGCAGGAGTATCCAAAGACAGCAATATGCATTGTACATCCTGCAGTACTTGCCAGACACTAATCTCATGGTATTGCTGTCTGTGTAATTAAGATCTATCAGACACAGGCCTAATACAGAGTACCAGCTGCATTTGAATACCTGCTTGTCAGTGGGGCACCTTTCTACTGCTTATCATCTTGGTTGAGGGATTGAAAGCTTCATTTAATTGTTTATCCTGTGTGTGTGTCAGCTATACCCAGCAAGATAGATTCCTGACTCAAACTACATGTTTCTAGGTGCAGGTATAAATGTCAGGATGAAAACCTTCAGCTAATACCTGTTCCAGGTAGTGCTGTTTGCTGCCAGCTAGTTAAACTTGACAAATCTGATAAACTTGAGTTGCTTCTAGCAAATGCTTTAGAATGTCTGTCTACTAATGGAAAACAGCTGGGTGAAAGGTTTAGTTAAGTGTTTTCTGGTTCTGAAGCAGATGAGAAATGCTTTAATACTTTCAAAGCACTGTGTTAAATGTGCGTGGCATTATGGTAATTGGAGGATCTGGCCTTAGAAGATAAAGCAAGCGGGCTTGGAATATCACTTGGTAGGCTGCTATCTTAGTGTAAGCTGTTATCACTTGTAACTCATGGTAGGGTATTAACTTCTCAGAGCTGGTGTAAAAGTACTTTAGGAGATGTTTTCAAAGCACCCTTTGGATTTAGATGCATCAGGGTTTAACCTTCTAAATCTTCAGTGCCTTTCAAAAGCTTCCCCTTCTATGTTTAATATGCAGTGATAGGGCACAGGAATTGGCTTATGGGTACACAAATGAGCAACTGCAAGGTAAGTTGGGATGTAAAGAAGTAGTAGATCAGCTACTTTGCAGTAACAGGTGATGCTTATGCTTTTATTCTGAGGAGGCATATTGGTTCTACCTGTAATGTATTTGAAGTGGCACATGTCTGTTTTGTGGTGTCTGGCAGGTATAGGGCAGTTACCATTATCGTTACTTGTTAAGTGTATTTCCAAGGCAGCTCGGTAGCAATACATGCTAGTTAGTTACCAAATTCAGCCATGATCCTCTTGTCTGACAGAGCATATGCTCTCTCTGTTGCTCTGCCAGTAAATCATGCTGATGAGTTGAAGTCATGTTGAGGTGCATCACTGTCACAAATTAAATGCCTTTATCTTCCCCATTTTCTCTTCTTGTGCTGCAGGAATTCCGGACCTGGCTACGGGAAGAGTGGGGTCGAACTCTGGAAGACATCTTCCACGAACACATGCAAGAGCTCATTTTAATGAAGTTCATCTACACCAGCCAATATGAGTAAGGTCAACAGCTTTTCTGGGGGGAATTGAGGCTGCTGCAACTTGGAGACCACATTGGATCATTTGTTCTGAAGATAGGGTGCTTGCAATGGGCTTTAACAGCCAGAGGGATGTTGTGTCTCTGCAGGTTCTGTGCAAAGACACAGTGAAGGACAGTGCTTTCCAGTCATTTCACTGTGTTTAGTTTGGAGACAGACCAAATACCCGTAGTCTCAAGAAGCTATCTGCTCAGTATCCATATTAGTAAGCACTGTGTGCTTTGGAGTGTGCTAGGCAGGAATCAGTCAGTCCTGGAGAACGTGGTGGGTTTTAAACTGTCACTTCCAGCTTCTAGTAGTTGGAACTAGATGATCTTTAAGGTCCCTTCCAACACAAACCATTATATGCTTCTATGATAGTAGCAGCCGCCTCACTGTAGCAAATGTTTAGTATGCTTCACTCTTGGGTTCTCTGGAAATCCCAAGGAGTGAGGAGGTTTACTGTGGTCTTCCTGCTGGAGCCTTCTGGTGTGCTGAGTACTGGTAGAGAGAAGTGAAGGGAGGGGAATGCTTGTATAGGTCTAAAGCAAAGTCTATTGAGCTTGTTTGTATTGTGGAAAACACAGAACCCACCTCTCTCTTGTCAGCATCCCAAAGCTGTCTGGAGGAACTGGCTGCAGACACATACCTCATGAGAGAGGGATTCTGTCTTAATCTCTCTAACATTTTGGTTTTTGCACAGCAACTGCCTGACATACCGACGCATCTACCTCCCTCCTAGTAGCCCTGATGACCTTATAAAGCCAGGTCTCTTCAAAGGAACCTATGGGAGCCATGGGCTGGAGATTGTCATGTTGAGCTTTCATGGGAAGAAAGCAAAGGGGACTAAAATCACTGTGAGTGCATTTGTCTTTCTCTCAGATGTTTGTTAAAGTATTCTCAATGTTATGGATCCATTGGAGAGGCCTTTGGAAGGTTGTTGTCACCCCAGATCCTGTTGCTTGTGGGGATTGATGCATCAGGTGAATCTTAACACATGCAGAGCAGCTAAAACATGCTGTTCTAAGTTTCTCCTGATGCCACCTGGCTCCCTTTTCCTGTCCTTTCCCTTCCAGCTGCTTTCTGTGAGCAGCTGGTAGCAGGTCACTGGAGATCACTTCCATCTATCTGAGGATTAGGTACCAAATGTTGGCAGCTTTTCACTAAGGCCAGGCTAGGGAGCTCCTTTCTCTCTGCAGGGAGGGATTCTGTCAAAATGCAGTTACAGCTTTGACTTTCTTTCACCCTTGCAAGTACAGCCTGACTTGCAGCTTTTAATTTAAAATTCTCTTTCTGGGAGGCAAAAGTCAGACGTGATGTTGACATCTCAGGGAGCAGCAAACAAGGTCCAAGAGGGGTTTTATTTTGTTGCCAGATTGGTGATTGTAGAATAGGGTGAACTATGCAGAAGTCAGATGGTGGACATGGGGAGAATACTGGTCTGAGCTCTGCAGCCAAGCTGTTGTTTTCTGTCTGTAGGGAGATCCCAACATCCCGGCTGGACAGCAGACTGTGGAGATTGACCTGGCGCATCCTCTGCACCTGGCTGACATTGAGAACCTTCGTGATTTCAGTGAGCTCTCTCGCATTGTCCTGGAGGTCCAGGAGCAGGTGCGTCGGGAAGAGCAGGAACAGGAACACCGGCAGGAGGAAGAGGACCCATCCCAGCCTGCTGCAAAGCCCTTGGGAGGAGAAGGTGCCGAGGGGGAAGACACCGCAGCAGGAACGGAGGGGTCAACCCAGGACAAGGCACCAGCTTCCCAGCCCTTCGTGCTGCCCATAGGAGTCATATCGAGGAATGAAGATTACCCCCGGACCTGCCGAATTTGGTAATGGGGGGTGGTGGGTTTAGAGCCTGGTCATGCCAGGCAGTTTTTGAAACAGAAGGGGAGGGTGTATCTTTGAGATCTGTTCTGTTATTTGCTTGCCCGTTACCTGGATGTGGATCTCCCAGCCTCTTGTCCTCAGATTTTGTGCTGTCACTGCCCTGCTAGGTGTTTATCCTGTTTCTTCTGAAGCAAGCACCTCTCCCATAATTCACCCATTCCCCTTCTTTTGTATGTGTTTTGTTTTCCAGAGCTGCCCAGTTTCTGTATTTGAAGATCTGTTCAAGCAGCTTCCCATTCCTGTGTGTGTCATTTCTGTTCCTTGACTGTCAGAACACAGTGCTCTCTCCCACCCTTCCCTGACCTCTGGTACCTTGAGGCAAGCTCTGGAAGGTGCTGAGCACCCTAAGCAGTCAGTACAAGTATGCAGAGAGCCTTGTTGAAAGAGACCTGGGGTCAGTGAAGCAGCATACTAAATGAAGTGTGGAAAAAAAGCCCAAAAGCTGAGGCTTAGGCAGGTGACCTTCAGCCAAACATCTGTGCTCATGGAAAAACCTACCTATAGCTGGTTAATCCCCAAAGATCCCTGCTGTCACAACCGAGTTGTGTTTGAGTAAAACCCTGCTCCACCTGCTGCTTGCTTGGAGGTTAGGCTGACCTTTACTCCTCCCCAGCTCCAGTTAGACTTTCCTGTTGTTTAGATCATCCTTTCTCTCCCTTCCCCTAGGTTTATCACAAGGTTTGCCTTTATGGTCACTCTCTCAACATGCCTTTTCTGTGAGGATTGTCTGGGCTTTGGTTGATCCTTGAGTTGCAGGAGTAAATCTCAGATGGATTATTGGGATGAATTACAGGAAAAAACCAGCCTCAGTGTGCAGGGGCTAGTTAGGATAGCCAAAAGCAGCAACCTCCAAATAGCAGCGAAGAGTTTCTTTACTTAAAATGGTATCAACAGTGTTTTGAGCTGTGTGGTAGGAGCTGAGTATAAAACTGGCTGTTCTGTAGCACCTGGCAGTGTGTTTGACAATGGCTTGATCGTACTTTTGTTTTTTTTTTATTTTCTTATGAAATGTGAGAACATCCATAATTACCTAACATCTTTTTTTTTGCTATTCTCCTTTGCAGTTATTATGGGACGGGGCTTATTGCTGGCCACGGCTTCACCAGCCCTGAGCGAACACCGGGTGTGTTTGTGCTCTTCGATGACGACCGCTTCGGATTCATCTGGCTGGACCTCAAGTCCTTCAGTCTCTACAGCCGGATCAAGGTGGCCTTCCAGAACGCCGACGCACCTTCCCGTGAGGCTTTCGATGAAATGCTGAAGAACATTCAGTCACTGGCTACTTGACGGGTAGTGATGGACAGGGCTAGGGGTTGCAAAGGCTGCTGCACTCCCCCAGCCAGAGCTTAGATGGGGATTCCTTGCTCTTGGTACCTCTGAAGAAAAGCATGCACTTTTAATAAAGCCTTTTTACCCCAAATGTACACATCCCGGTTAAAATATCCATGACTGTCCTTTCCTCCCTGCCACTCCACACTGCTCCCTAGCAGTTCTTGTTACCCAGTCTGTAACATAGCTTTGTATAGCTGAAGGGATCCTGCAGAGGAGGAAACAGACCTTTCATATTGCAGAAAACGAATGTATTGGAACAAAAGTAACTCGAGGTCAGAGTTGGATCAGAAGAACATCTAATTGACAGGATGGACACAAGCCCTCTGCTCTGACCATTAGCAGTCTCGTGTGGAAAGAGCTCTTCTGCAAGGAGGAGACTCATTTAAAGCCTTTGCTACACTGTAGGATGATCTGTCCCCCTGGGAGACTGGCTTTACTGTCCTGAAAAGCTGTGTAGTCCCCAGCTGCAAACTGTGTGGCTGCTTAATGTCACCATTGACAAAGCATATCCTCCTCTCCAGAAACCTTTCTCTGGGTGCAGCATTGTTAAGAGAGGCTGGTGTAATACCTGCAGTCCTTGGTTTAGTCATTGCAGTGGGTGGTTTTCTTTGAGAATTTCCTTTGAGAATTTCCCTCAGCTTGGCAGCAAGGGGAGGATTCCCACTGTAAATGACAGTGTGTGTAGTGTTGCCCTGGATTCTGGAGCTTGATGGATGTGCTGTCCCTGGAGCTCCAAGTCTGGGTGTCTCCCTGAGCATGAAGGAGATTATTTTTCTTACAGCAGCTGGGTATGGAGCTGGAAGTGACTGTAAATTGCAGATGCTGGTGCATTCAGATTGGCTTTGTACCTGAACAGTTAACCTCAGATCTTTAAAGTCGGTCTGAAAATGTAAAGGAAGAAGAAAAAAGAAAACCAACTGTGAAATAAGCCTAGCTGCAATCTGATGACTGCTGTCTGTGATGGGCAGCAGAAGGTGGGATGCGTCACTGGTACTGTTGTAGCTCCTTTCAGGTGTCACTCTCATATCAGGTTGCCCTGTGAAGTCTGAAGGAGCACTGGGGGATTCTCCTAATATTGCAGTGGCTTGTTCTGGCATGTTTCACAGTTGATGCTGTCAGGTGGATGCTGCTTCTTTTCTCTTAAGAACCTTCTATTCCCTTCCTAGTTGTGCTTGTTTCATCCTGGAGGACTGCTGCTTTAACAGAAAGCTCTTGGGCTTAGTTTGTTTCCGTGATACCTGCATTCTCTGTGGCAGACCTGAGCTCCACTGGAAATGAGACCCTACCTTCCAGGTCTCTGCAGGCTGCAAAGCAGATTCCGTATTGACTGTTCTATTCAGGAAAATTCTGGCCAGTGCTAATGTACAGACTGTGAGTTGTGCTATAAAGCATCAGCACTTGCATCAGCGCCTGTTATTAATCCTGTGTAGAAAGAGATGATAGGGACCCTTGTGTGGAGAGAAAAGAGCTGTTAGTAAGGAACGTCTTGGTTACATTCAAAATACATCCTTTGCTGCAGCTGCTCTCTGGCTGTGATGATAAGCTCCATATTTATTCTCTTCCTGCTACCAGACAGATCTCTGTCTAACAAAACTCTGCCTTTGTATCTTCTTCAGGTCTTGGTTTGTAAATGTGTCTCTACATGTGTACAGTCTGTACATGTCTGTAGTAGAATAAATTCTTCTATCTCTTCCTGATGTTTGGAGACAGCAAGAATAAGCGGGATATATCCCTTCTTATTCTGGGCATCAATACTGGCATTATGGTCAGGTAACAGCCCTGCTATGGATGTATTAGGATATATAACAGCAAGATGAAGGGCAGTATTGCTATCTGCATCTGTCAGATTCAGGTCAGCATCATGCTGTAGCAGAACAGCCACACACTTTCCTTGCTGGCGCTGTACTGCCTTCATCAGTGGTGAACTGTAATCACTGTCAAAAAAGTTTAGCTTACACTTGTTTTCTATTAGGTATGTAACAACATCGGTTTGCACAAGCAAGATGCAGGGGTGTCTGCTCTGCCTTGTCCCACCCATCGATGCTGTGCTTCTTCAGCCCCTGGGCCAGGAAGGGAAAATTCAGACCCCTTCTGTGGAGAAGTTTCAGTCACAGCCTGGTTTCACTGCGAGCAGCTTTTATTCTTGCTCTCACAAGGGCTTTTAGCCATTTCTGGCTCTTGAATGTTCACTCAAGCTGTGTGAGAACCGAGTCTCCAGCAGAGACTTGGAGCAGAAGGTCACGTCACTCACAGGATTAATTCCTGTCTCCTTGAATATAGTTTTACAAACCTCTGGGAATTTGAAGGTTGATTTGGGGCACTTGTTCCTTTGTTTCCTACTGCTTTGTCGGTAGTGGAAAACCTGCCTCAGTGTTAGAGGTGAGGATGTGAAGTGCGATTACCATTCTAGTGAACAAGCTATAAAAAACAGGTTATTTCTGAGCAGCCTGTTAGAGGTGTTCCTGTTGTCATCAGCAGAGGGTAGAGCTGACTTGGACCTGACCCCAACACGTAAGGCTGTGAGAGAGGAAGGGTGGCAGTTCTCTGAGCCTTGGTGCATGGGCAGGAAGGTGAGCTGAAGCAAAAATTGGGCAGCTCAGCGTTTTGCTGAGCCAGGTTCTGAGCTGTGTGCAGAAGAACAACTCTTCTTAAGCATAACCTTAATGCTTAATCTTGCAGACACAGGTTTCCAGCTCGATGAAAGCAGATTTCTGGGATACCTAAAGACATTAGGAGTCTGGCATCTGGTGGCCACTTTGTCTTGGAGCTCGCTGTTAGGCTGGTGCAGCCAGTACATTGACTGCTTTGTGTTCTGCCTAGCAGCCTCAAGGGATGAGAGAGGTCCCCTTGGGCAGCTGTTTAAATTGCTTGTTCCCAAAATCAGCTCTGCTTCAGCTTCAGATTTGCATTGTGGATTCCTCCTTCCCTCGATGTCCCTGCTCACCCAAAAGAGATAAAAATCCTGAAGTTTTATGTAACTGATTTAATGGTTTTTGTTTTTTAAAGTAAGAGTGAAAATCCAGACTGCATTGAATGCACTGTGAGCACTTGGCCTGAGACCTGCCTCAATGTTTCCTAAGAACAGACACTGCTTTTGTACCTACTCTCCTCACTGTAACCTGCTGTGGTGGGTTAGTGGAGTGTAAAGGTGGTGTAGGTATGCTCCACTGATGTATCACAGGATGTTTTTAGTAGTTGTTACCTGCAGCTTAAAGTCCCCTTGATACCAGGAGTCTATTGGGGATTGCAAACCTATGGTAGCAGTTGGTGTTTTGCTCAGTGCTGGATACGGGTCTGCTTTGTCACTTGGATGAGGACCTGTTGGTTGGCTGTTGGCACAGGCTGTGCATCTACTGTTCTCCAGACTAAGACAGTTGTTCTGCTTGTAGCTTGTCCCTTCCAAACCTTTGTAGTGGCAGTGGTAAGGGTCTCCTTTTTGAAGGTGGGACCTGCTTGGGTGGCTGGAGAAAAGGGCTTTGCAGAGAACTGATTGCCTCTTGCAGGAACTTCTCATAGCTCAGCTTTGCCCCTGTAGTAGCATCTTTTTATTTATAGCATACCTGGTTGGCCTCAAAATGTCAGTGTGCTAGTCCTGATTAAAGCAAAACTGCTGATACCCTGTGGCTTTATTCTGTCTAGAGCAAAGGCAGTGAAAGTAGCAAATTTTGTATTAATACTCCTCCTCTACCTTCTCTTATCACCTTCTGCTCCTCAAAGCCTGGCAGGCTTTTGTGGCATATCGGAAGAAAATTTCCTCTGATGTGACTTAGGGAGAAGAAAGCTATTGAGAGGGTGAATCTGGAGAGATTGGCATCAATGCTCTGGGTGCTCTTGTGCCTTTGCTGGTTCCTTTGTGCATGACTACATCAGTGTTTCCAGAGAAAAGCAGAATAGAATCATAGAATGGATTGGGTTGAAAAGGACCTTAAGATCATCCAGTTTGAACCCCTGCCATAGGCAGGGATGCCTTCCACTAGACCAAGTTGCTCCAAGCCTCATCCAACCTGGCCTTGAGCACTGCCAGGGATGGAGCATTTACCACTTCTTTGAGCAACCTGTGCCAGTGCCTCAGCACCCTCACAGTGAAGAACTTCTCTCTTATATCTAACCTGAACTTCCCCTGTTTCAGCCTAAACCCATTCCCCCTTGCCTTGTTGCTACAGTCCCTGATGAAGAGTCCCCCCCTAGCATCCTTGTAGGCCCCCTTCAGATAAGTAGCAGCTCTGAAAGTTTTGGGAAGAGGGGAATGAAGAGGAGTGCAGCCAGATGTGGCAGCAGGCGGTTTGGATCTGTGCATCAGCCAAGGGGGATGTGGCTGCAGCCCTGGTCCTGCCTTCCCTTGTGGTGCCTGTGGAAGCAGTGCTAGCAGCACAGTGTTTTCATAGAATCATAGAATTAGGGTTGGAAAGGACCTTAAGACCATCCAGTTCCAACCCCCTGCCGTGGGCAGGGACACTACACACTAGACCATGTCACCCAAGACTCTGTCCAACCTGACCTGTACTTTTGTACTTGTTCATGTTTGGTACGGGCTCCACCACCTCCTTGCATCCCCTGTTTGTTCCCTACTTGTCCAGCTTGCTGTGATAATTCTGTGAGCTGTTGACAGGGATAATGTGTGGTGGTGCCTTGCAGATGGTGATAAATTTCTGGTGCTGATGTGTCCTTGTCCTGTTCCTCTCTGTAGAAAAACCTTGGGGATAGTTTGCTTTATTTCTTGATCCCAGATGGGTGGGAAGTGCTGGGGAAGATGGAAAACAACTTGTCAGGGGTAGGAATACTCTTGGCAGAAGCCTTTTGGACTAAAACGCTAGCAATTAGGTTGCAGAGCAGCATTGCCCTAGTTGCCACAGCAAGACCTTAGGTTTAATTCTAGCTGAGAAACAATATGCAAGTGACTGGCTTACGTTCTTGGGCTGTGTTGTGCTCCTAGAGCGTGCTTTTGGAGTTGTCAAAACCCATGGGTTTGGCCAGCTGGAAAACAAAAGTATCAAAGATCCTCATCCCGCCTGTTTGTTTGCCTTGGACCTGACTTCATAGCTATAAAAGTGCTGTGATCGGGTGTTGGGGTTTTAGGAGACTCACTGCAGTCCACGTGGACTCATCAGGCTTTTTGTTTTACTGAGGAGAAGGAAAGAGGATGGAGTTACTTGTAACTTTGGCTGTCAGCTTCCTGCTAACAGTGAACAGTGCAGTACTGCCATGGCTGCTCTGGAATGGGACAGCAGAGGTTGGATGGCAGTGAGGTAGGAAACTTGTAATGGGGATATAGCCAATTCAGGTTGGAAGGTGTTCTTGGAGTTGTAAGCTACCAGGAAAAAAACAAAATGCAGCTGGCTCAATGTTTACTTTTAAACAAGGGTGACTTTTTACTGCTTCCTATTCATTTTAAACTAGTGGAACTTAATGGGGGTGTTGGGTGTTGTGTGGAGCTGGGTTGTATAATCTCAACTTGCTAGTTTAGGAAATGATAATATATTAACTCTGTCTTGTAGCTGGTTGCTCACGTGGCCAATAATTTTCTGTTGCATTCAGCTGCCAAAGGATTATGTGCTGGCCTTCACTGCAGGCCAAGCACACAGCGTAACTTACCAGTTGGACAGTGAAAGATTTGAGAGGTGTGATCAGGAGGTGGAGTGGAAGATAAGTTACCAAACTGTGAGTGCCACTGACCTTTTTTGTGTGTGTGCGTGCTGAATTATGATTCTGTTCTTTGTTTGGATTGCAGTATTTTTAATTTTGGGGGAAAAAGCACTCAGATCAACTGTGTTCATTAGCTTAATTAAAGCAATCTGCACTTTTTTTGATTGATTAATAATCCTACATCTCTGTTTCCATGTGTGTTTTGCACTCACTACTTCAAGGTTACACCAGTGGATTAATCTGGGCATCTACTGTAGGCTTTGTGTATATGTAACTCTCTATACTTCTTAAAAATGAAGGTAAAACATCAGATCCATGTTCCATGTAGAGCATAGTGCAGAGGAAAAAGGTGAGCTTTTCTTTCGGAAAGGCTGTTTGACATCAAACACCGTGGTTTCATGTCACGGATACCCCTGTGGAACATGGTAACTGTAGTTTAAACAGCTCACCTGTCTGAGTTGTTTTGCTTGTCCTGGGTTTTGAGAGGAACAGGCTGGATAAAAGCTAGATGTGACTTTGCAACACTTTGCCTACTTCATCCCAGCTATCAGAAAGCTGAGCAAAACGCGTGTGTTACTTTTACACCTGATCATTGTTACCCAAGGAGCCTTTTCCAGTTTCAAATAATAAAAAGCAAAGTTTTGTGAACTTACTTCTGTTTGCTTCTTCTTCCTCTGTTGTTCCAAAGGAAAGTGGGCGATGAGTTCCAGCCTCCTGACGTGCAGCAGTCTGTCTTCCACCACGTCGTAAGAATTAATTTTCCCTCGTTTGGATAATTGATGAGCAGTTGAACTGATTTCCTGAAGATGCGAGGCACTCACCCCCACACCTCATGCTGCAAAATCCAGCTTCCCTTGTCCTATTTATGTTTGTTCCCCCTGCATCTACCCAGGAGTGCCTGTAGTACCTGGCTCCTTCCAACAGCAGATGCTGAGGCTGGCAGAACTAACGACCTGAGCCTTGACCAAGTCTTTCTGCCCTCCAAGCCGTAGCTTTCTCTTTCCAAAAGGAAGCATGGAAGCACATGGTAGTCCTGAATTTAGGGGGTCTTTCTTCATTCTTCCTTTGGTTTGGTCTGAAATAGATCAGTTGACACAAAACTAACATGAGGGGGAGACAGTGTGATGGTGTAAGCCCCCTTCTTTATGGAATCTGGCTAACCTGTCTGTATTCCTTACTCCTTTGTTCATGTTTCCCACACACCCCTTCAAATTCACACCCACCTCAGATCTGAACTGCTTTCATTGCTTTTCCAAAATAGTGGCTGTGTTGAAATGGGAGACTTTGTGGTGTAAGTTCAGCCGCCACCAAGGAGCTGCTCATCTTGTGCCAGGGTGCACGGTGGAGTCCCCAGCTCTGTGCGAATGGCCTGAGCCTGTCTTTACTGGAGCAGATGTTGTGCTTCGAGCGTTGCAGCCCAGCTCTGCCAGTAAGTTTCTTGGCGGGTTATTACTATTTTTAAGAACAAACCTTGGCCGTGGGGCATTAAACTACCAAAGTTTACACATGAATTTTTAATCTGGAAACGGCTCTGCCTTGGTGCTGGCAGTTAGTCAAGGCCAGAGCACACACTTAGAGCTCCTCAAGCGCAGTTTGCAATGAACGTGTGACCTCCTTTCCCCCCTGTTTGTTTTTGTTACCACCGCCGCTTTCCCCTAATGCCACGAGTTAATTTTCTGGTGCTAAAGGCACATCTGACCCCACTCCTTTATGTGAAGTGTTCTATATATAATCACGCAGTCGTTCAAGCCTTAGCAAGGGAGAATAGTGTAACACGCAGTAACTCCAACCATATGTTTGGCCTTCGAGGAGCACAAATGTAGTTTCTCAAGTGGCAGCGTTTCTGAACACCAACCACATGCACCTCCCGAATGCTGGCTTGCAGCCTCCCCTCTCCTTCCAAGGAAACTTGGAGATGTGAAGGTTCAGTGCTGGGCAGCCTAACACCTCCTGGAGAGGAGTGGGGCTAAGCCTCATTAGACCTCCTTTGCTGCAGCCCCTCGCCAAGGGGTAAGGAGATATCCATGATCTGGATGAGCTGTTCCTCAGCAGGTGGGTTGTTCCTCCCAGCTCGATGATGGATGAACTGCTTTTTCCATCTGCTAGGGGTGAAGTCCTCAGTGTCAGGGGCAGTTATGGGCTTTTAGCTGTGCAACAGGCAGGAGGTTGTCTCATAGTTGTTAGCTTAGAAACTATGGCCATGCAAGGGTAGATTTTTCCCTCTTTGGGCAGATGATTGCTGTGAATAGGCACATCCCACGGTGGTTTGGGGCGGTGTTTGCAGCTGGATCTTCATCCCCTCTTAGGTCTGTGTCTCTTCTGTGCCAAAGAGGCCACCACTGCCATTTGTGGCGATGCTGCTTCTTGCTACTTGGCTTGTTTCTAAAGCAAGGCTTCGGTGCCTTAACACAGAGCCTGTTGGTTCCACTCAGGAAGGAAGGAAGGTAGGTGTTCATTCTCAGTGCTGCAAGCGTGTGGCTGAAAACCCGTTCCCTGTGAGTCCAACTGCTGGCAGCAGCTGGAGACCTTACGCTGGGGTAAGGATGGGGTGTGGAAGTGGCATCAATTTTGCCATTCCCGCTCAATGCAATCCTTCTGCCTTTCTGCTCAATGCTGGTTTTATTTTTGGCTCTTTTCAGATGAGCACTGCTGGGCTGGGCTGTATTCTCATGCCAACTGGCCTGGCAAGCCAAGCTGTGTTTGGTCCAGATGTTGTGTAAGCTTATCCAGAGCATCAGCACCCTTGAGCTGTGTGAAACCCTGTCTTGCACACTGCCTGCCTGGTCTCCCTGCTCCCTAGGGAATGGGCTGGAACAAAGGCTTTCGTTCAGTGCCACTTGGGAGGGTTGAATTTCTCACTGTTCTGTGCTTGTCAGCCATTTGGTTTACTCTGAGGCCTTTCCTTCCTGTGAGAAGGGAGCAGCATCTGCCTTCCCTTCTGCAGGAGGGGATGGAGGGGACAGATCCACGCCATCACTCTCGGGGGCTGTGAGTCCATGCTGAGTCCAGGGACCAGGGGCAGAGGGAGGAACTTTACCCACTTCACTCTGTGCTCCAAGCACTGCTGATTCCCACTTTCCAAATCATGTGGAGAAATGTCTGGCTGTCCAAACCAGGGTGTGCCCTCTCCTCTTTGCCTCTCTCCCTGCTGCACAGACATTGAGGATGATGAGCAATTTGCAGTGTGTTTTGCTCACCCCGCTTCCCAGCAGTGCTTTGTTTTTTCCTCCTCTTCCCAGTGCAAAAGGTTAATTAGTACCAAGCTCTACGTGGCTAATTAAAGACTCCTGAGCTATTTCTGCTGTTCCCTGGAGCTGTCACCCTCTGGCTCTCTCACTGCCAGCTCCTGGATCACCGAGGTTCTGTCTCTCACTGCCAGCTCCTGGATCACCGAGGTTCTGTCCTGCGCTTTTGGGACCAGGATTTAATGTCACATCGCCCCCATTGAACCCCACTTTGGGAATCACCCCCCCCCCCCCCCTTGAATCCAGGGTCCCCATCCCAACCTCCTGGCTCCAGGAAGCGCTGCAGCCATGCTGGCCTATGCTGCTCCGCGGCCGCCAGGGGGAGCCCAGAGACTGGGCACGGGCACGCTCGGGACAGCGCACCCGGGACCGGGCACCGAGGGGACCGGGGACCCCCAGAGCATCCGTAACCCCCGATGGGGACACTGGGGGCACCCACAGGGACCCAGCACGACACGGGGGACCCAGCACCCTCAGGGTGCTCTGCCACTGGTCTCCACTTTTGCCCCATGGGGGACTTGTGGACCTCGGCTTTACCAACCTCCGTGCCTGGAGGATGCCTGGTCCAGGGGGATATGGGGATGATGCTTTCTCCCACCAACACCCAGTGGGAAGTGCTGAGCTGGTTAAGGAGGCACTGACCTCTCTGGGAACGCAGCATGGGATGAACCAGAATGCTGGTGCGAAGGGCAAGGGAGAGTGGTGGGAGTCTGTGGCCACCAGCCGTTGTCTCTCTCTGGTTTGTTCAATAAGTGGCTTGTTTGATGTGCTTACTTCCCTGCTGCCTGCTCTGTCCCACTGACCATCAGTCCAGGCTGCTGGAACAACCCCCAGTGCGAGCAGGGCCCAGGTTGTATGGAGCCAGAGTGACAACAACGATGTTCCTATCGTGGCTGGGTCTCCCATTGGGGCCCATGGGCTGCTGTGGGGCCAGGCTGGAGCATCTCTCCTGCTCACCCACCAATGCACCCTTCCCCATGCGTTCCAGGTGAGCCGGTTCTCATCAGCACATTCAGTCTGTCGCTTGCCAAACCCACCTCAGCCACTGCGAAGGTTTTGTGTTCAAAAGCAGCCATTGAGGATGCAGCTGCTTTAAATCTGTGTGTGAGTTCTCTCCCTGTCAGCCCTCAGGTCTCACCTCTCTTGCAAATGCTCTTCTCTGTGGCTCGCTTCTCCCTGGGGCTTTTCTCACCTTCTCATCCCTTTCCTCACCTCCAGGAACCCAAATTAGTCACGGACTAGGGCAGGTCTCACAGCTCACCCCGGTGCCTGCAGTCGCTGCTCTTCTCATGGAGCTCCGTTTGATCCTGTGTCCCTCAACCCTCATTACTGTAATACCTGAGGCCTAGAGCAAGTGTCCTTCTGGCACTGACCTTGTTACCTGCTCCACTGCATTTATCCCACCCTTGCTCCCAGCATATTAGGAGGGTGATTTGCAGCCAAATGCCTGATATCCCTTAATCCCAGCTGGAAGAAGGCAAGCTCCTGTTATCTGTCACTGCATCAGCAGTGCTAGGGCTGCCTGGCTCAGCCCCCTGCATGTTGCTGCTAATTAAAAACAAACGAGGAGGGGTATGGCTGGCAAATGATGCTGGATGGATCCGCTCCATTTAGGAGATCTGTGAGATGCTCAGGTAAATAATGTGAAAATGTGATTTTCTGCCACTCTAGGAAGAAGAGGAGATGATGTGTGCCCCTTTCTGAGCATCTTGCTTGCTGCAGAGAGGAGAAGCCTGCCCCCGCTGGGACCCTTCCCAAAGGCTCCCACATGGATAACGCGTTTGATTCATCCACGACCACATCTTGGCTCGTGATGGTTTGTTAGGGAGAAGGTGCCAAATTGGCCTTCTACTGCACGGTGCCTGACACAAGGGCAGCTGGAGGCAATCACCAGCCGGGGGGGGAGCCTCCTCCTGTCCAAAACAAGCAGATAAGGGCAGCAATGAGGAAAAATAGGGCCGAGAGCAGGCAGGCAGCTGGGAACCAGGCAGCAGGGGCCGTACCCCGGCCCCCCCATGCACACAATTCCCCTCTCCCTCTTTGTTTTCTCTAATTGCACAGTGGGGCCTGCCGGGCACAGCCTGTTTCTTTACTCCACATTGGTACAAAGCTCTGTGGAATGGGGCTGGAACGTGCTGACCTGGGAATAAAGGCCGTAGAAGAGGGATAGAACCGGTTTCGGCTTCCCTGGGGAACAATGCTCGGCCTCTCAGCAGGACATGGCCATGATGGTAACTATGCTCTCGTGTGCTTTGCTCCCAGGGGGTATGGAAGGGCTGCTCCCATGGGAACGCTGCCCATGGAACAGAGTGGGATGGGTCCTCCCACCCCAGCTACCCCAGGGCACCCCTGAACCCCTTGGGATGGATGGGAAGCGTTGGGGCAGCACCACAAACAGCCAGGGCAG